AGTATCGTGTCAGAGCTGTGATAGGCTGAAAGGAGATGGAAAAGGGTGAAAACAGTTCCAGAGATTCCCATTTTTATTTACTCATCTTCCATCTTTTTTAAATCTTCCTCTCTGTGGTTTCTCCTAACTGCTCCTGTGTCGTGCTTGTCTACCTTCTGATGTATTGTGGAGTATTTGCAGTGCTTTCTTTACATTCCTTCCTTTACTTCCTCCTTCCTACTTTGCTCTTTTCTTACAGATCTTATTATTTCTCACACTTTTAATTCCTCCTCTGCTCCTCTCCTCCTCTCTTCTTCTCTCTTTGCCTCCCTTCTCCTCCATCCATTGTGTCTGGGAGAGTAATGATTGTGTTTTGGCCTGCTGCGACTGCAGCTATATTTAGTAGTGCTGGCTAGGGGCTGTGAAATCCTGCCTGCCTCTCCATGGCACTTAGCAGGTTTCAAGGAACCCCACAAAGTGAAAGAGGGAAAAACAGGAAAAGGGGAGGCTGGAGATGTCTTTAGCTTGATAAGTGCCATTCCTCTGGCCACGCTGGCTAATTAAAGGCAGGTGACTGCTGAGGCTCCGCATTTGATCGGCTTTCCTCTTTCGCTCCTGCTTCGTCTTTAACCCGCCATATTTGAAATGCCAGCCTTTATTTCGTGGTGGTGTTTTCTTGTTGTTGCACCGTGCTGCTGCTGGTGTAAACACAGACATGTGCTTCAGGTTTTAAAGTGGCTGGAATTGTCCAGCAAACCCAACAAGGAATTTCAATGAGAGTGACTGCCTGCCAAGACAAACTTCAGCCTCACTTACCCACCGGCCTTTGTTCTGCTGTTCTTCCTCTGCTCTCTCCCTCGCTCCGTTTCGCACACTGCTGGCACCCAGTGTTATTCTTTTGCTTCTATCGCACGGTGTGTTTTGGTTTTCCTCATGTGCTCTTATTCAGCAATCCTCACTGTCTTCTTCTTCTTTTCTTTTTTTAACCAATTTTCATGCTTCACTCTCTCTCTTCTCCTGTGTCAGACAGACTGATTTTGCCCTTGACAACATGGCTCCAATCATTTGGAAGGATTAGTTTTGGTTTTTCTTTTTCGCTCTCCCTCCAATTATCATGAACAAGTTGTGTGTTAACCATGTGTGTTCAAAAGACACACAAATTTAGACACATTACCAATGGTGACAGTTCAGGCTAAGCCATAGAAAAGGTTAAGTGATTTTTGTAGCAGTAAAACAAACTCTGTGGGTGTGTATTTAATCTAAAAAAAAAAAGGGGTAAAACATGATCATAATTCAATTCATGGTCATTCTCACTAATTTAATAGCAGCTTGTATACACAGTTTAAAAAAACAATATGATTTGATCCATTTTAATAAAAAAAAAAAAGCAGCAGGACTGACTGCATTGTTTGGAAGAAGACTCTTATTTAGTTTCTCCGCAGTCTTCAATTAACCTCCCTGAAGGCACCAACTACTGCAAGCCACACTGTGCAGCATGGATAATAAACTTGGGTAGGGCTTCGAGTTTGATGAATGCAATTTGCAATTCTGAATACTGAATATGGTCATTCCTCCACTATTTATTTAAATGCCCATGTTGCATTCATCAGGGCATCCTATGAGCCGGTTAGTAAACTGTGTACGTTGTTGGTGCTGGGCTATTGTGACCTTTCTTCAACTGCTTAAAAATCAGCCTGCCCTGCCTGGATTGCGTTGCTTTGCAAGTGAGAGGAAATTGAAGACTTAAATCAGATTTATGCCTCACTTTTAAGGTGTTCTGGTGGTTGCATCATAAATCACTCCGGCAAAGGAGACCGTTTAGAGTTCAGAATAGGATTTAACCCACCAGTTGTCATCGCATCACAGGAACATTTGATGGATTTGTACGCTGCGTATCAGACATTCAGCACTGTCTTAATTTTGAACAGCCATAAACATCAGAAAACACACAAGATGACCAAATCTCTGTATCACCCAAATGCACACACACACACATTTTTATGAACTAACTAGAACACA